CTTGGGGATTTTTGTTTCCAAGGTAAGGTATTTTCACGGGTTCTTTGCGTGCTTTAACTTTTCAATTTTGTTGTGGGAGCTTCACGATTAAGCTCTCACGAAAGGCGATTACGTTTGTACACCTGGTTTGTGTTCTTTCTTTCATAATCTGAGGCGTTTGTTTCGTTATTTCTTCAGGTGTCTATAACAAAAGATTTTTTCACGTAAGTCAACACGCTGAAACGCGGCTTGTGTTCAGTGCAGGTTGCACAGGAGCTTTTACGCTTTCACAAGCCAACATTTTTCGGCTTGGACCTTCAGTGCGGGTTGTGTCAGACTGAAAGGTGTCATTGTACTCTCGCAAGCCAACATTTATCGGCTTGAATGTATTTGTGCGGGTTGCGCTTCAAAGAGTCTCAGGGTGTCTCAAAGTGTCTCACTAGTGTCTCAAAATGTCTCACGAGTGTCTCAAAGTGTCACAAACTGAAAGAAACTATTGTTTGCCTTGAACTGTCAAGAGTGTTATCTATTTTAATAAACTGAGTTTCTAGTTAGTTGGATTGTTGTTGTTGCTCGCTCAAGCACACAAGTAAATATGGGGATCTTCATTGACCAATTCCGTTCAAGGATTGGATCTCATGAAGATTTACATCCTGATGTTAGTGAAAACTATGACCTCTTTGATGATCTCAACATTTCATCAACATCGCTGAATAATGAACCACTGATATTGAATGAATTACCTGATTTTGATTTTCGTCAAATGGTCCAGACACCCGATAAAGAGCAAAACGAATTTTTTTAACACATTTTACATCAGATTAAAACCTCAGAAACCCCTTTCTACTGCTTCCTCAGTGGAGGGGCTGGTGTTGGCAAATCGCATTTAACAAAAGCTTTGTATCAGGCAGTGCTTAAGTATTATAACACTAGAGCTGGTGATGATTTTCATCAGATCATAGTTATACTATTAGCTCCAACTGGTAAAGCTTAAGGGTGACACTCTTCATAGCACTCTGGCCATTCCTGCCAATCAATCACTGAGAAATTACAAACAGCTTGATTCAAGTAGACTAAACACTTTGAGAAGTCAATTGATTTTTGTTGATGAAATCTCAATGGTAGGAAATGGTATGTTTGCAATACAGCTAAACAATAGGCTTAAAGATATAAAAGGCTGTAGAGAGGATTTTGGAGGTGTGAGCATAATTGCTATTGGTGACTTATTCCAATTAGAATCTGTTATGGATGCTTATATTTTCAAAGACCTCAAAAATGTAGATTTATGCTGTTCTTTCTCCCAGTTTATGGCATAAACACTTTAAAATGTTTGAACTTAATGAAATCATGGGTCAAAGAGACAGCAAATTGTTTGTAGAATTACTTAATAGGTTGCGTAAAGGTAAACACACAGTAGCTGACATTGCAAAACTTAAAGAGAGCTATACAAGAAGACATCAACAACCCATTAGATGCAGCTCACCTATTTATACAGAATGCTAAAGTAGATGAATTTAAACAAAGGGCCCATAATGCAGCCACAGGAAACAAATTCACAATAAATGCTCAAGATAGTGTTATTGGAGCTATCTCTCCAGAGCTAAGAAACAAAATACTAAGACAAATACCCAATGATCCAAGAAAAACAAAACAGTTAGCCTCAACCCTTTGTCTTGCTGAGGGTGAAAGAACACACCTTGTCATGAATGTACGAACTGAAGATGGCATGACAAATGGTGCTGGAAATGTTGTTAAACTAGTTCAGTTACATCAACAAACCAAACCATCTGGTATTGTATGGGTACAATTTGACCACTCAGATGTAGGTCAGAAAACAAGGAATGAAAAAAGACATTTGTATGTACAATGAATTGAACACACATGGACCCCAGTAAACCCTGTGACTACACAGTTTGCGGTAGGTAGAAAAAGAACAGCACAAGTTGTTAGAAAACAATTTCCACTGCGTCCCGTAGCAGCGAAAACAATTCACAGGTCACAAGGTGATACTGACAGTAGAATTGTTGTGGATTTTAGTACCAGAAATACTATTCCACACATACATTATATGGGACTCAGTAGAGTGACTGCTATAGAAGGCCTATATATTTCTGATTTGTGTGAAAGCAAGATTGCTGTTAATCCAGATGGAGAGATTAAGAACAACTGCAAAACTTAAGCTTTGCATCTCCCTCTCCATGACATAACATTTTCCCTTCTTAAACTGTGTTATCTTAATGTAAGGTCTCTTCACAAACACATAGAAGATATATGTAAAGACTTAATCTGATATCAATATTTTCACAGAAACAAGATTTAATTCTCAAGATAATAATGACATGTATGACATTGCTGGTTATGTTCTCTTCTGTAATGATTACCTTAATTCCAGCAATGGATCAAGGTCTTATGGTGGTACAGCTGTGTACAGTAAAATCCCATACTTACCTGGATACCCCTATTGTCACAATATACATGGTGTTGAAATAACAGTAATTAAGTTAGCAAGGTTTGAGGATTGGAAAATCATAGGGATATATCACTCCCCAAACGTGCCTGTAAGACAACTTTATGAAGCAATAACTGAGGTATTAAATAACATTTCACCAGACAACAATATCATTACTAGAGACTTTGATATAAATTGGCTTGTTGAAACAGACAGAAGACCTTTGTATAATTTACTAGTGAGGGATAACCACTACAAACAGTTCATATCAACTTATACAACTGACAACAACACAGTAATTGATCATATATATACAAATATATCTAACATTGATATACAAGCAGATGTTTATGAAACACATTTCACAGATCATAAAGCTGTTTGGGCCTCATTTCACGGTGTCCTATAACAAATTACTTTATCATGATGTACATTGTTTTTAAGTTAAGAGAGCAACAAAAGAAAGCAGTAAATAGTTATGAAAAGAGTTGTTTCTCTTTTTTCAGAGGAATTTGTAATGAGAAACTTGCAAAACTATTAATAAGGAAATGCTGCTTATTCATTTGGTACCAGAACAGGCCTTTTAAAATTAAGTTTGAAGTCATCTTTCTAAGAGTTGTCCTGTTTAACAACCATTTACAAAAGACAAAAATAAACTACATAACACACAGTCCTGAAATTTCAAGGCAGCTCCTTTAGCATCTTGGCTAATTTCTAACTGCAACCTTTATTGACAACCCTGTATTAAACAATTATTCCACAGTTAAGTCTGCAACCCCTCCTGAAATACTGCAGGATACCAAAAAAAAACAACAAAAAGCAAACAAACATATTAGTGAAGTGAGCAAACAAGCACATGCGTGACTTTCACGTAATATAAAATTCGTGATTGCAGCATTCCCACGTGCGTAAAGTGCTTGTAACTTACGGGAAACACACGCATGTTACACCAAAAAAACCCGCGTGTAGTACAAGAGGCCGATTACTCGCAATTTCTCGTAGTTTTGAATTTCCCTTTTGTTTTTCAGAACACCCATATACCTGTACTTTTTTACACCGATGCGATAGAAATTAATTGGAAAAACATTCCTTGAAATAGGAAGTCGTCCTGTATTTTCAGCGAAAAAGATTGTCAAGTGATCAAAACAACACCGGCCAGATTATAGTCACGTGCTCGGCAACGACTTGTGGAAAGCGACCATCTGTCATTCTTACCATCAAAACAGTCACGCTTGCATAGAAGAATAACAAAACGAAACGATTACAACGGAAAGACCCAAATTGGCGTAGAAAGAAATAATGCTGCAAATTACCATTTTTTTTTTATGTCATGTGTACATGTTTCCGTGGGAATTTCTGTGTCAACAGCTTGCTGTCACTCACAAACTCTTCGTGATTCTCGCTGGTCCTCGTTATGTTCAGCGCATGGACGATTCGAAGACGCTTCAAATTTGGTTTTTAAGTTGATCATAGCACTAATCTGAAACATTTGAAGTCCATTTCAATATAGTAAATGTCGAAACAGGCGTGTAAAGACAATAAATATCGCAACGATCAGTGTAATCATAATAGCGCCACGACTTTGGACTTACTTCTTCGGAAGGATAGATCTCGAGTTCGAAGCCGACTAATTACGACTAATTACGAAGAGTCCATGCTAATTTGCATATCGCAGAGCGCCCACAAGAACTCGTTTCTACGCTATCGTGTATCCACGAGTTAAAAAGTAGTAGCAGAAATTTTTTCAATTTTTTTTCAATGACTGTTACGAAAATATTTACTGCTCCAAGTATTTCCAGTATTGCCGTATAAACAAATAAATAGCCTAAGCCACCAAGAGGTAATTTATTTGTTGAAGACGATTACCAAACGTTCAAAAACACACCAAAAAGCTTCCAGGGAGGGAAGGAAAGGCATATTGCTTGATAAAAGGAAAAGTTAATACCCCAGATCCCTCCTGTGAATCTGTATTTGTTCAAATAATTCCCACACAAAAATTACTATTCAGACTGTTGATTCCAGGCCTAATATCACCCCTGTAGTACAGTTGACTCACAGTGAGCGACAGGTTTGCTTCCGCTCAAAAACCCCTTCCAAACACTTTGTCAATAAAATCCCACACAAGTACGCATTGCGGACCTATTTTTTTATGTCTGTCCAAGCGTAACCAGCATGAATTAGGGAAAAACCCCTGACGATGCAAAACAAGTATTATGCTATAATGAAACCATTATCTTCTAGATTATAAAATAATAAATACAGGAATTTTTTTCCCTTTAGGAGTTTCAGAAAAAAACCCAGGATATTTAAAACCTTAAATCGAGCCCTCATGAAAAAATACCTCAATATTATTCTGTAATCGTATAAACTTCTTTCTTTTTTTGCTTTTTTATTGGAGTAGTGATGATAGAATTAATTCGCACAAGGGAAAATCCCCAACGCCACGATTTTCAGCTTTAATTATTAAACTTATGAATGACCTGGAAAGCTAACTCATGGTTAAATCTTCAAAAAGAAAAAGAAAAATTTGAAAAATAGAGAAATCAATAAAGAAAAAAATAAAGGAAAAAAAAGCTTGAACTGATTGATATGTCTGAGTAAATTTGCTCCAAGTTTGCGAGCATCTTTTCTGTTGCAGCAAATCATGATTCGGCTTGGACATTTTAAGTTACCGTATCAGGATAGGTGGTGGAAAGTGTTATTTGTAAAAGAATTTGATTTTTGTTTTCTGTTTGTTTGTTTTTTTGTTTTTTTCGTAATCAAATGTGATATAACCGCAATCTTAGTCGCCCGATTTCTGAAGGACTTTGTTGTGACAGTTTTTAGTTGTGGATCTGGTTGGTAGAAGATGGCAAGTCATAGAGGTATAAGTAAAACAGCTCTGACTGATCATGATTTTCCACACCTAATTCCAGATTGCTCTCTACGGGTAAATTAATTTCTGCCTAGTTACACGCCAAAATTATATCGCAAGCGATAATATGCGGAAGATTTCTCTAATGTGCGATACTTTGACCTTTGATCGTTTTCATGCCGTAGCATTTAAACAAATCAGCAGCTTTTCGTTTATCCCATTCATATTTGGTTGAGTTCCATTTCTAAGGTTAATGAATAGATAGACAAATTAAAAAAAAAATTTTGCAGAAGATGAAAAAGGGAACACGTTATACACTTCCAATATTGTGTTCACATCACCTGGGTTGTGTATATTTTTTTACTCTGACTCAGAAATAAATGGAGGGATTGAAATTCGATGAAATTTCTGTACCAGAAATCAGTGTCTCGTATGTCTGTGGGACATTTCAATAATTACCACTATATATGAAATCATGGTTTGCTCCCAAGGAAGATTTGACAACGTTAACAAATGTTTCTGGTCACCATGTTTGTTCGTCGACAACTGAGCTGATAACGTAAATTGGCCAATTTACTAACTCAGTTGACTATACCAAATTACTATGTTACGCTCTCCCACCGACGAAACAACCACCGTTACTTTAGAAACTTACGCTCCTTCTTTATATAGTTTGTCAAACATATTTGAACTTTCAGCGTCCACATGACGATAGATTGGAGTGTTAAACCTCGGCTGCATGTGTTATGAGACATCTACTTAAAGATAAAAACGATTTGGTAGGTCAGACACAAATCAAATCTCTGCCAAAAATTATTTTTTGGGTGGGTTTACAACTAGCCCTTTACCAAAAAAATGTGCAGCTCGAGTTCGGTAAAATGGTAGATATCGCTGACAGCGCGAAAAAGACAGAGTGGTCGAAACTATTCAAGAATTTTGTTTAGCCTTTTTTCGCTTTCCAGAATCCTCCTCAAACGATTTGCCATCTGCTTGACGACTCCTTCCTTAAAATCATCCAGAAGGTTTGCATCAGGTAGGAAATAGTGAGGAAGAATTCTTCTCTCCATATGAATCCGTAATGTCTCTAGGAAGTGAAGGAAATGCTTTCCTAACGCGTCTCCGCTCACCCAATCTTTGCCTCCTCCGTAAATGTAGTGCATAAAGGCGTTTTTCAAGTAAAAGGAATCCATTGGTAAAGATGTCTCCGGTCTTTTCACCACGGTCTTCACGATTCGGAGAAGCTCGTGCCTGCAGCCATGGTCTCTCCTGTCCATCAACTGTAAAACTTGCTTCTCCTCTACCGAAAACGACTGCCTCCAAAAAGGAAGCTCTGGGTAGGACACAAATCGTTTCCCTTTCAGAGGCTTGGGCACATAATATTTACCCTCGACTTGGAAGCAAGGGACGAGATCAACTGATAAAATTTTTTCAATGTCTAACTGGACAGCTGGTCCGTGGTTACGCAGAAGTACATGTACTTCAGAGAATGGTGGCTTAGCGTGGATATAATTCACAGCTCGCTGAACGAGACTGAACCAACGATCTCGGATACATTTGGGGATAATACATCCATTATCCCACGCATAATTACGTAGCACTGAGCTTTCTCTTGCCATGAGAAGGACAAACCCGGGCACTCCGGATTCTTTTACCTTGATTTCTGCTCTTTGCGTTTTAAATACTACCATGATATCTACTTCATCAGCGGCTTCAGTCTTCAGCTTCTCGTAAAAACTGCCAGTGTACTCCAGTTTTAGTATCTGAATCTTAGAATTCTCCTGACAGTACATTATGATCTTGTTTTCTATGTATTCTTTGACCAACTTTCTGGCGAGAGTCATGTCGTCCTCAGAAATCTTGACGTACTTTACGGAAAAATCACGAAGTTTCTTCGTTAAAGTTGGAGTGTCTTCTTCCCTCGCCTCGGCCTCTTCCATTATCTGATGCATCAGTGATGAAAACGTTATTAATTATTTACAAAATTAGCATTAAGTGCTTGTCATTAACACGAGCTGAGTCAGGAAGTAATTACAGACCTCTAACCACAGTAATCATTACTGACACTTTCCCTTCTTCCTCCAGTCCAGTCTTCCTTCATTATCTACTCTACTCTAATTTAGTTAACATCATCAGCACTGTTATTTTAGCCCCTACCGCACTAAAGCGTTTTCATTTACTGACTTAAACCTATTGGTCTGATCTCACATTATATTCACTCTAAAATGTATGAAAACGTGGATCAAGAGGAAACAACCGAATGTCACGCTTTTTAGGTTACCTTTTCAAAAGACTCTAATGTAACGTTTATACTAACAAACCGCTTTAAATTATTCTGTGTTCTAAATCGCCTTGCCAGTCCTCCTTAAATTGGATCAACGGAAGGAGCAGCTAAACTGGGACTTGTAAACGAGATGAACGGATGAAAAGCGCAATACTAGAAGATCAGTTGTTTCAAATTCATGGTAAAAAAAAAAAAGAAGTGCTTGAAGATTTGGGGCCGGAAGTGCGCTTGAAATGCTGTTGATAATCATAAGAGAAGGCGTGACAGATTTCTCAACAGTGTAAACGCTGTCCGCCAATTTCACCCGGAATAACTGCAAGCCTATGACTCGTTCAACTGTTTATGTTGCAATGTAATAGGTTTGGGATTTTACAGTACTCGTGGTGATGTGGAGATGGTGTATCGGGCTGAACTGGTTCGAAATGTCAAAGTTTTGAATTTTCAGTAGAGATACAGACGTCAGTATAATGGACTGTAACAAATTGTAAGTAGGACTTACTAGTTTTGCTGAGCTACTACTGAAATGCCATTGGGGAAAGATTCCGTTACATCACCTCTTACATCACCGTTTCTACGAACTGGCTGTTCTCTATACATGCATAATTTTGCTTTAGGAAAAGGAGCTTTTTAAAACCGTTTCTGAAAGTATCTTCACGGAATAGAGCCGTTTTTGTTTAAAAGTGTATTTCTTCACAGAAATTATGTTAAATGTGGAAATATTTTAATCTCGCTCTCTCGTTCTAAATTCTACACTGTAAGCGCATTAAAATGTATTTTGGACACTGTTTTCAGAATCCGTGGTTGAACTGTCAGCACAATCGAACCGGATTTTGCATAATAGAAAGCGACAGTACAAACGATATACAAAACCGAAGCTGGAAACGTTCACTGAACCAGTTACCACTGTGAAGGTGAGCTTTTTCACTAAGTAAATGGCGAAGGGAACCGAGAGGATGTCCATTGTTGACGAAAAATGCGATCCAAACGACTTCGGGCTTCCATTTATTATCACGAATACAATCGGAGTCAGTTTGCTAGCGAATGCCCGTCGACAAATTACTAGCTCGAACGATACGTTACATCATGTTCATTTTGCGACTTCTAACGCTTTTTTTTCCGTTTGCATTAAAATCAAATTCCCACACAATACGCGGATTCAGAAATTCGAACCAAAGGTGATAATAAACAATGGCTACCCCTTCGTTTCTGTCGAAGGACAGTTAATTTGATGCGCTATTCAAAACTTTTGAAACGGCAGCATAAGTCGACTAGTATGAGTGAATTGACATTGTACAAGAAATTGACTGGTTCTAGGTTCTTCGAACAATAAGTTACAAAGGATGGCCTACTGCTCCTTTTGACCACAACAATATTTCTGCTTTGCTGTAATCATAGTGCTTCTAAAATTACAAGACACAATCCTGTTTAGCTAACTCAGCTTGACAAAGGCAGTACTGAATTGGCGTCCCTCCTCGAAAGGGCATATCAAAGTGCAATGATCCATAGCTTACCTGATCTTTAGTTGTGGTGTACTTCGCAAAATATGAGTAAAGGAGAGAGTTTGCAATTCAATAGGCCGTGCGTGCCAGCCTAGTAAGTAGAAATTATGCAAATCAAACAGTACTTCCAGTTTTCTCAGAAAGATATGATATTGTCAGAAATTAATTTTGTTTTTATTGGAAGTAATTACAAAAGCATGGTATGTTGCGGCAGTAAGGCACTTTAATTAACATGAGAATCAAGATGTTGAGTCTTAGCTAATGCTAATAATTATCTTTAGGTTTCTGCCTGAAAAGTATTTGCATGTTCGGAAGCTGTTTTGCTTTCGTGTCAAGTGTTCTATACAGAGAAACCCGGTAATTTTACGTCACGTTTGTCAGTCACAAAATGTACATTATATGATCCATTTTATTATTATTACTTAGCTTCATTCCAACCACAGAAACAGGATCTATAAAGCGGACAATACAACACTAATACAATCTACGATACTATATCTACAGCAATACTACTGATTACGTTACCTTACCCACAATACTACTATGGTTCAATCATAATACTACCGATTACGTTGCTTTACTAACGAAACAGCTGCTTACCCTAATTCTTATTGTCCTACATAACGTTAATAGCGGAAAAAAACAACAACAACAACAAAGAAGAAAGAAAAACAAAAACAGAACACATTTACACTATAAACTTTACAATGGTTTTTTTTTATATATATGATTATCAGCAAGCTAGGTTGAACATTAGTGAACATCTTGAAAACAACAGCTTTGTATAGATATATACGAGGCGAAACAAGATTTTGATCTAATTACGAGAAATATTTCTTTAAAAGTTATTTAAAGATAAAATCATTAGGAAAACCTGTACTTGCAAGTTAATGAAATTTTCTTGGAATTTAACTCATAACTGCACTCAATAACTGCACTCGAAAAAAAAATTATCCAGATGCTTTTTCGCCTAGTTGGACGGATTAAAGGCAAACGATATGGCACACAGAGATAAATTTCCAATTGTGCGTTTTATATCTTGAATTGTATTGTAAAAACCCGCAAATGACCTGGAAATCTACTTCATGAATTTAACCTTATCGAAAATTGACGAATGAAGGGAAACAAAATAGAAAAAGAAAAGAAAGGATGAAAAAAAAAATGATAATAACATTAGATGAGCCAAGGCTACTCTCATGCGGGCGTCACAGTAAAATTACTTTTTTTCTCCATCTCCATAAATAAAATGAGCGCGTGAGATGTCAGATTTAAAAAAAAAAAGCTAAATAATTAAGCTACGAAGTCATTTTTTTGTTTGTTTATTTTCCATTTTTTTGCTTAATGCTTAGGAGCAACTGTCTACCGTCAAATAACCAACCTATTAACCTTAAACCGTCATGTTCACCACCAACAGCCGATAAAGCCAAATCTTTAGCTGTCAAATTCCTCAGATATTAGATCAGTGTTACCTACTATATCTTGCCCTTTTTTCCGAATTTTTACCAGAAGATTATGCGTTACTTAGTCATGAGTAAGTAGCTTTTCGACTAAAGGAGAGCATAACAACTTTATTGTAACAGAAAAAAAACAAACTATAGCGGGTGTCTTCCATGTCTTTGTTTTCTTAAAGATGAAAAGTGAAGTAAGACCAAGCTGCTGTTGATATTCTTTCTTTTTTGTTACCCTTCGCGTGTCAAGCTTTTTCCAAAATCGACCGTCGAAAGTTCAATGAAATGATAGATAGCTTTGATTGTACGAGAGAGACAGGTAGAGTCACGAAGGCTATTTGAGTATCTTGTTCAGCCTTACTTCGCTGTGGAGGATCCTTCTTAAACGATTTGCCATCTGCTGGACAACCTCTTCCTTGAAATCATCCAGAACGTTTACATCATGCAACCAATAGTGAGGAAGATTTCTGCTCGCCATATGACTCTGTAATTCTTTAAGAAACTCAAAGAAATTTTGCCCTAACGCGTCCCCACTCTTCCAATCCAGGTCTCCCCTTTCCATGAAGTGCATGAAGGCGGTCTTCAAATGGTATGAATCCAGTGGTAAAGATGTCACCGGCCTCTTGACAATGGTCTTCACGATTCGAAGGAGCTCGTGCCTACAACCTTGGTCTTTCTTGTCCATAGACACTAGCAGTTGCTTCTCCTTTGGTGAAAATGTCTTTCTCCAAAGAAACTCATCATTGGACGCATATCGCTTCCCTTTAAAAGGCTTCGGCACATACCAGCTCTCCTCAACTTGGAAGCTAGGGACGAGATCAACCGATAAAAGCTTCTCGTCAGATTCTTTCCTGAAAATGTCCACTTGGACAGCTGGTCCGTGGCTACGCATGACCAGACGAACCTCAGAGTATGGAGATCTTGGTTTAATGTTATTCACCGCCCGGCGAACAAGGCTTTGAAACCAGCTATTTCGCAGCTTCTTGGCATTAATGTAGCCTTCTGGACTTAAATACTTCTTGAACATTTGGGCATTTCTTGCTCTGAGACGGACGTACCCTGGAAATTTGGATTGGATGACCTCTATCCCTGTACTTGGTGTTTTCAGTATTACCATGATGTCGGCCTCATCAGCATCCTCAGTCTTCAAACCCTCGTAAAAGCTGCCAGTATACTCCAATTCTTTTTGTATCTCAATAATGGAATTTTCTTGACAGTACGCTATGATCTGGCCTTTAATGTAGTCTTTGACCAGCGTCTTGGCACGAGTACTGTTTTCTTCAGGAATCTTCACATATTTTACGGAGAAATCACGAAGTTTCTTCGTTAAAGATGAGGCGTCTATGATCTAAAAAAGAAGACGATATTTGCGGAAACAGATTAAGAAAGATGGAACACGATATTAATGGCTTCGAAGTAAATTGTAGCTAGTCCTCTTCATGCATGCGAGCTGAGTCAGAGGGTCCATCAAAGGTTTAGCGGGATGCAGGATAAGGCTTTAAAGCGAGGCGGGATGTCGGATGTGAGGCATTTTGAAGGCGAGATGCAGGATGAAAATAGGAAGGCGAGACCGTGATATGCTCCGTTTCAGGATAGGGGATAGGACGGGTACAGGCGGGATTATATTTTAGCTTACGAGTCACATAACCTCATAGACATAAATTGGGGTTAACCTGCTTAAATGACCCACTAGTACGTCCAGTTTTAAAATTGTTACAAGTGTCAATAGGCTTACACGGCTCCAAATATTTATGTTATAATTTGCTGTCACGATTATTTCTTTGAATAAACGCCCATTTCTGTAAGATTCTTTGAACACCTCGCATAGCAATGGTTGTGGCTGTGTTAAATGTCACTCACTCATAATTTCTTTAGGTTTTGGAATTGTTACATAGTATTGTGTTACAAACGGCATGAATCGACTGTTTGAATTTCCCTGTTGGAGGGAGGGCCCGTTTTTCACTTCTGAGGGTGTGTCGTAAAGTTTTTCGGGTTGCCTCTGTTCAAAACACATCTCTGCAAGGTGTGTTTTAAACAATTTTTTTGTTTTGAAGAATTAGTCCTGAGGAGTCGTAACGCTTCACCTTTAGCAAATTAAAGTGTTTCTTTGCTCTTGTTGGGTGACACGTAGTGTAGAACGTATACTGGAATGTCTCTGCTGGTTTGAAGTGGATTTCGAGAACTGTGGGTATTGAGCAGGTATTGAGAATTGACTCCCTGTTTTAACACAACTATTTATAGGGGGGAAAGATTTAAAAATCTTTAAAAATCTTTCCCCCATACAAATAGTTGTGTCTAAGAAATTAGCTTCTGAAACAGTTATTTCAGCCGCAAATTCAATCGTTGGGCGGTGTTTGTTTGCTTTTTCAATGAAGTGGTTGAAGACTTCTCTGTCGGTGCGCAAGAGATCTAGAGTGATTATGTGGTCGATGTAGTTTTTCCAAACTAGCGTTTGGTAGCACTTTTATCAAAGATTTGCGGTGAGATTATAACCATTAAGATGTTTGCAAAAGCTAATTAATTTTGATCCTTGAATTGGAATGTTTTGAAATTGCATACTATGTTTATGCCCACAGCTTGTGATTTATTTGTGTATGAGCTCGGAACGAGCATTGAAATGAGTATCTCTTCTTTTTTAAGCTTTGTTTTATATTTCTGTGAAGTTCATAAAGTCTGTTGTTTGTTGCTTTGAGATCTGACTTGTAGTGTCTTGCCTACTAGAGTCTCACCCCGAGTTTTTGTCTCATCCGTAAAGACTATAAACACACCGAGGGGCAACCGTTTTTTCAAGCCGGCTAAATATGCTTTAAGCAAGTCTTTGCCGTTCTCCATAGTCAGGAGAGTACATCATCAATCTTGTTAAGGCCACAATTTGTCCGTCAGTCTAGATAAGGCGAGGAACTATAGCAACTTGGGTTTAACCATGCGTGATCGGGATAAAAATGTTCATTGCGGCCGGATGGTGGGATGGAATGAAAAAAAGCGCTAGGATACGGGATTGGGAAAGTGTATTTTGGACCCTTGAGTCAGTGTGAGGTGTTCCTTTTACTTGACAAATTGACCACAATTTTCCTTTGTCTATAACATAATTGATCCCAGAATTGACGTCAACACTGTTCAAACCACAAGTTATTGTAAAATTAAGAATACCTCGTCTACTAACGAAGTAATACAGAACAAAATTCACTGTTGTGTTGTGTCCCTTCCCTCTTCCATTCTTTGCTTTCTTAGTTTTGTTTACTGCCAGGTATCATCAGCACTTAGGTCCATTTTCAACCATCATTCGTACAGAAGCGCACAAACGCAGACGTTTACTAAGTCCTTTATTATGCAGTGTTACGCTACATGACTTTAGAGTTTCTTAACCTTTCTGAAACCATTTCCCGAGTGTCTCACCAAAATACCAACGTTTGCGTCAGCTGTTTGTTTCCAAACAAACAGCTATCGCAATTTATGATAGGAGAAAATCACCCTCTCTCCTTATGCAGTATTGAGATATTGTGACTACTCCGGGTTTTAAAAGATAAATGTTGGTATTCCAAGCCGAAACTGTTAACACAATCGAGCTACAGAACGAAAATTTAATCTATAAACAAATGGATTTCTCGTTATCTTCGAGAACACTGATAAAGCCTGTAAAGAGAAGCGAAACATTATCGAGCACTGATGGAATAAAATACGAAAACAAAGAGTGGCGTATCCACTCAATGTTAATAAAACCTGGTAGGTTTTCTGGCGGGAAAACAACCCTCGTCCTATGTTAGAAATAGAAAAACAAACAAACAAACAATGACATTATGTTACTTATAACACTTTTTTCTTTTTTAAATACATTTTTCATAAAATCAACACGGATTGTCACACACTTCGAGTATTTATAAACCTAGCCATGATAGAAAATCAGCGTTTTCGGTGGGCATTTAATTCGATAAGGTTTTCATATGTGAAATGGCAAGATACTAGGATAGCTCCTGCTTCAGATATTAAGAATGGATTCACCCTTTATCAGAAATTAAATTAATTCTAGATTCTACAGACAAGAATATGAATAGGATGGATTTCTGTACTATGATTTGACCCTGATCTGCCAACTCGGTAAAAAGGCATTGCTGCTTCCAAGGTATATCAAATAACAATGTCATAATTAACCTAATCTTTGGTACAGCGTACATCGAAAGAAAAATGTATGATTTACGATTCTGTGCGCTCGATAAGTAAATTATTCGAATGAAACAGACTTCCGGTTTCTAAGAAAGGGATGCGGTTCTTTGAAAAATAATTCAGTTTATTTCAAAACCTCGGCTCAGATGCATATGCGTGAAATGTAAATTAAAGTGTTTCGTAAACACAGCATTGCGCCCTTTGCACTCACTGGAACAGGCTGGACTATTATTGTTCATTTCACCTGATCGACGGTTATGAGAGTTTGAACCAAAGAAAGCTGTGACGTATAGGGCTAAATAAAGAGCGACAACAGATACAAATATTTATAGCAAATATTCGACGGAGCAAGCAGTGGATACGTGTATTTATTATTTACATCGCGTGCCAGGTTTGGATTCAATCACACACACGAGGCTTTTGTTTCAGACGATAAATATTGTAAAAGATCTCTTACGAATGAAGCTTAGTGTGTATTCAAGGATATAACTGATCGATGCTCGCTGAGAGAAGAAGATAAACTCACTCAATACATTTATTACTGAACTCAAGAAATTATGGTTTTAGTCTTACCTGGGGTGGGAAATTCCGTTGTTTCTTCTTACCCATTTCAGTTAAGAATCTGCAGCTTTGTCGGAACACTTACGTACTGCCTTTAACCTCTTAATTGTGGCGCATTCAGTCTAAATGACGGATGAAAGTGAAACAAGCTTAAATAGATGCTGTGACGTACTAGAATCGATTCGGGAAATTCCCCGCACCGCCTTTTCGTGTTCGACCCAGCTTAAATTTTGCGACAAACACAGCGAACATTCGGGCGAAAAAGGCTAGAATTTGTCGTCTCGTTTTATTAACTTTTTTAAAGAACGCTTAATGGGTCTGTTTCGAGAAAGACTTAAGGTATAAGACTCAAAAGTGCTTACACATCAATTAAATTTTCTTGAAGATTCGCCAAGACAAGCCTGTTTGTTTTCGTGTCGTGTTGACCAAAAATAGAATTCGGTAAAAACCCCTTCATCTGATATGCACTGTTTTATTTTTTCGAAATTTGGAATATTCTTGTTAACTAGTACCCTTAATGATTTCAATATTTTGTGTCCTGGAAAGCAAAAATGTACAGTCAACCTGTATTGAGCAGTCACCCACGGGTAATGGAGGGGTTTATAGTGTCAACAGAATCGGGGTATTATGTAAAATAATATAAAGCGTCATTTTATGCTACAATTGACCGATAAAAAATTGAATCTCGCTCAAAAATACCACTTACTTCGATTTCGGGAGAGAAATGTGGATAACAATTTATGATAACGATTATTCTCAGTTTTATTTGAGTGGTTTCTGTGTTCAGGCGTAAACGGCATGAATTTGGGAAAACCCCTCTCAATGTGATAGCAGGTGTTATGCCGCCATGATCCAGTATCATCAAGAGTAGATAAGAAAAGCGATGATTCATCAAATATTTTTACTGGCGCACAATCAGGTCTCAACGTATCACGTGACTGACAACCCACGCTCAAACTGGGTGATATCCAAAAATATCACCCTAGTGATATTCCCAATTTTCAAACATCACGTCCCATTCAACTAATAAGTCTTCGTTTTAAATTTAGAAAGCGTTTTATGGTTGTTACGGTAGGAGTGTAATATTTGTTTGTTCATAAAGTCATATAAAAAGAACTCAAAGAGGACACCCACGCAACAAGCAGAAGGCTCTTCGTAAACGTTTTTTTCACGCACGTTGCAAATATTTGAAGGACAATAACACAATCGCCATTATTTGTCACGAAAATATGCTTCTATATTTGTCCTTGGACATTATCTCTTTCTCAAATCCCACAGTTTTCCTCGAGCTTCGCTCTCGGAAAACTGTTTGCGCCAATCCAACGGCTTTTTTTGTTTATGTGCTTGTTTTAAGTCCTGTTAAGTACCAGCATGTGAGCACTGAATTTATTCACGTTGATCGCCAAAAAAAGTTGAACTGAATAAATATCACCTTTCATCGATGATTTGAATTGTTTACTTAGCTTCTCGGTGGTATTCATGATTTCTCTAATCTGGTCGACAAATTAGCGTCTGCTGCTTTAAATTTTTATCATGCATGTAACAGAATGTTTAGTCATCGTATTAACTAAGGCAGTCAGACAAATTCCTTATCGGCCACGACATCTAATGGATCGACGTTTTACCACTTAAGTACTTTTCTTTACTTAAGAGATTTACAAGCAAAATAACTAGCTAGAAATTAGACATCTACGGCAAAGTAATTTATACGATTTATGTAACATGTCTTCTGACAAAATAAGTAAGGATATTCAAGTTGAGCAACTACGTAATTCACGAGATGGTCTACGCTAAACATAGGTATTTTTAGGTGTATGGATACACGAGGGAGGTTTGGAGAAGCGTGAGAGCCGCCCAAAGTGGGGCCGAGAGCAAAATCTAGGCTCTCTCTTGTTTTTTGATGTAGAGTATTCTTCAGCGATTTCATTTTTGATTTTGAGATCCAATGGGGCTGTCTCAATCTAGATAGATACATCTTGACCACTCAAACATGAATTAAGATTTCCAGCAAATTATAAATGTACACATCTTTAAATTTTTATACACGCATGGCCGGTCGTGCGTTCATAAAGATTTGGCTATGATGGCTCAATAGCAGTTAGATTAGAAAAGCACCAGCGTTATGTTACAATTAACAATTATTCCCAGACACTGATAGGAATAATTACTTTAGTACGTACCACACAAAGACCAAAAATAAGTTTATTTATATACCGAAAATGGTCGGAAATTAAACTCTTGAGGTGCAATCGTTGGGAAGTTTTTTGATGGGAGGAAATGGCAATTTTACAGGACATTTGGACGCTTCGAACTTTGTAGCAGTCAATTCTATCGAGAGCAGTTGACTTTATTGATGCACTTTCCTGTAATAGGCGAGTGTTTGGGTTGGAGAACGACGGATTTTGAAGAACTGTATGGCGACCTAGGTCAATGATCAATGACAAAAGAACTGGCTGAGGAAGTAGGTGGTTTTTATTTATCGAGTCCCTGTGAGGTTTGATGAGTAGCAGAATCAGTACTGAATATGTCTCGATCGAGAGTAGACGGGACCATGAGCTCCTGATTGTTATATTTTAGAAATTTTATAAATTTCCATACAGTTTCTTATATTATTTGGACTCCATTATGGACGAAATGCGCTAGCGCGGCCGCCATCTTGTCCAATATTTCTGCCGATGGATATAACACCAGGTTAAATATTTCTAAGGGTAAAATTTCCCTGAAAAGTGTCATTTAGACTCGCGTTTCAATTATAAAGACTTGTTCAAATTGATAAGAAGCTGAGCTGCAACGCGTTTTAAAATTTATTTGACGGCTCCCCGACTGAAGTCAGAAAAAGTTGTGGCCAGAAGTTTAAATGTAGAGAGAAAACAACTTTAGATAGTGAATTAATACTATTCTAGGTTGATTTTACTGTGTTTCAAATGCTGTTTTTGCGATAAATCATTTGTTCATATGTTTATTTTGTAATATACAGTTACTCCAACTCTAATGATGCAATTACAAGGAACAGGTGAGACGGTATAGTTCCAGATTTAAAATTTATGTTGGTAAAATGGAATTTGAAAATTTTTTGACTGGTTTATAAGAATAATCACTGATTGCCCATTGTAATTGCATTAACTGGTTAGCAATTCCAAAATAATATGGGTAGGAAAACAAAACAACGAATTTAAAGGATAGCGAAGCCTGTCCTAAAACAAAATTAACGCTTATAAAATTTAAACCTTATTCCAGGCATTGCTTTAGTTTTTATCACCATTATCGTCATAAATACAAGTATCAGTTGATAAGTATTATCTGTATATTTTTATCTATCGATATGCATTGTTCACTGTGGTACCAAAATGCCTGTTTCCAAAATTCTCGGTACACATTTACTTGGTCTGAAAACAGTGATGTCTGCAAAAGCCAAGGTGGTTACTTAATTTCCACTGAACCCAATGAGGAATGGAATTTTATCAGTCAGAAGATTTAGAATCTGAGTAGTTGGAGGAATAAAGTATGGCAGATTGGTTTATCAAAGGAATCTGGGAAGTGGACTTGGGAGAGTGGAAAATCATTGAAAATTTCGAAGTGGAAAAAATTTTGAGGAACGATGTCATCGTCACCATCTCATTACTATAATAAGTAGAAGTAGTCGGTATCAGTCAAATTATCTTAATCATTATCATATCATTAGCATTATTAATGTTATCGTTATTATCAATGTTGTTGCTTTTGTTGTGAAATTACCAACATTGTGATTGTAAGCATTATTTATTTACTTTTTTTTTTGTAGAAAATCACTTTTTGTTGTTGTTTTAATTTTGCAGAATACCAAAATCCTTCCTTTAATAACTCTTGATACAAATTTTCAGAGTGGGGTAAAACATGCGAATTAACGCAACTGCCGAAGCCAAGCCTGGTTTCCATCAAAACTGGATACGAATGGATTTTTATGAACAAAGAGAGTCGAAACCGCTCTTTATAGTTCTATCATATTGGTTTGAAAAAAA